ACTATATGACCAAGATGTCCTTCTGTGCTGCCGTAACAGGACTCATAAAATCTCCACTATCCCTTCCTCAGATGCTTTTCTTGTCTTGAATTTAAGTTTTTGTTTTTTTTCTGATTTGCAAAGCAAAAATTTAGTTTTTTTGTTTCCGTGTGAAAATTGTGTTGTAAAATGTAGAAAATATAAATTTTCTTTAATGGTTTAAGAAGTTTAAAAAAAAAATAATAATAATAAAAAAAAAAAGGTAACCACTACTGCATAGCTGATCGCTGAGTTTGTGGATTAAAATGAATTTCTGTTTAAGTTTGAAACCAGTGTGTCTGTGTTAAATGATTAACCCTTTGTAAACTTTAATTTCAACACCCCCCTCCCCTCTCCCCTGATATTTACCGATGTTTTAATTGTGCACACACATTACACCAACACAGTTCTGACTAGAAGTCATTTTGTATACAGAAAAAAAGTGTGGTACCTTCCTTTGTTTGTTTGCTATTAAACTGTTTGAGAAGACCGTGTGGTCCATTTATTTCATGACACGAAGATGTACCCAAGGTGAGCTGTCGATGATATTCATGATGCATTGACAAACAGAATGTCCACCTTTGGTTACTGGCAAACCTGAACTCCGGTCCGCTTTTTAAAAGTCACTTTTTGGCCAGTTACAACGAGCTTTTGGTTGATCCAGATGGGTTTTGCAGTCCCAATCAAATGTAGGGGTATGCAAAACCTGCTCGAAGCTGGACAGGAGGTCAGCTGCAGGTCAGATTCACCTGTCAATGAATTCTGAATGCTCTCAGAATCATCTCAAATGGGTGCCATAACACAAGCCCAGAGCTCATTGAGCCATTTTGGTAGATTCTAATGCCAGTTTGTGGTGACTAGAAGAGAGGCGTACTATATTACTCACGCTGGCAGTTGGCACTCTTAACTTCACGCTCAAAGAAATTAAATCAGCGAGGTGGTGACCACACAACCAGTGACCTTGTTGGACCAGTCCTCCACTGGGAAGGAAGCCTGCAGGAGCAAGAAAAAGGTAAGTAATTTTGTCTATTCCTTGCCTCCTGGGCCTAGAAACTTGATCGGGGGAAACGAAATGACATATATGTCTTCTAGTTGATGTAAGTTTAACTTTTTTAAATTCTCTGCCTCTCGCCCTCTCATATTTACCAGACATCTCACACCACTTCATATAGATGGGAGAAGAGCAACTTGTTATGTTTTTCTTTACAGATTCTTAATCATGTTTAACCTTATGATATCCTGCAAGCCACTTTTTTTTGTTTGTTTTTTGTTGCTTAAAGTGTTTTCCTTGTCAAAACATTTTGGTTTCAGATAGTGTGGGGAAGGGTTGTGGAACTCCTGTCAGGACATCTTCTAAGACTGCTCTCACTAGAACAGGTGTCCCATTGAAAGATGTCCCCCCAACCTGTTCTGGTGACAGCTGTAAAATGTTCCCTTTCCATTCACCTTCTGTCATTGTGACAATTATCAGGACAAATAGTTCCCTTTCCCAGCAGGGACATAGTAAGACCACTGACTGAGGGTTTGACTCCACCACTCTATCCAAAACTTTGCAAGATAAACACGATAGCAGTAAGTAAAGCTCACATTTTAAAGTGCCCCTCAATGTACATGTATACCTTCCCTGAGAGGAACAGGAAGGGCTGCCTTCTCATTTTGCAAATGCTTGGCTGTTATGCTAATCTTCTGTCTTAGTTTGTGTTCCTGTCCTGGAAAAAGTAAGCAGTTAAGGACTTCTGAATGATATGCATACTTGTTTCACAGCATTAATGGCAAGGCGATGTGGAGGTTATCGGTGGCAGCCTTCCCATCTCTCAGGAAAGTTTCATAGATTTAATATTTGAAAATGCAGTTTAATGGTTAAATATAGCTGTGTTTAAGGTCTGCAAGTCCTTTTGCTTGGTAGAAACAGCTGGGCCGTTACAACAGCCTGTTCCTTGCTGAATTCTAGGTAGCAGGCACATCAAACCTGTGTGACGTGGCCAAAAGTCATACTTTTTGACTTTAGAGCAAAAATGCTTTGGGTGGTGGAAAGTGAACATAATTTACACTGTGAAGGATGGTGGTGGGAGTGGTGGATGCTTTTCATCAGCAAAGTTGTGTTTGGGAGCAAGATGTATAAAGCCAAACACTAGGTAGTTCTAGGGGGAAAGGAGTTTTTGTCAGACTTGAGGCTTTACACACACACACACACACACACACACACACACACACACACACACACACACACTCACACACACACACACACACACTCACACTCACACTCACACACACACACACACACACACACACACTCACACTCACACTCTGATAGAACTAGAGCAATTTTGGCAATAAAAATGGGAAAATGACCAGATCCACCAGGTGTTAAGCTGGTGAAGACCCCCCCATAACCTGCAGCTATAATTGTTGCAGCCAAAGGTAGTTCTAAAGATTGAAAGGGAAAAGCAGCAATCCTAGTTAATTTTATTGTCTATTGAGGGACATGGGAATTCAGATACTAACAGGTTATACTGATGTTTACACGAGGACTGGGCACTGGCAAACAAAAATTGTAGGCCAACCACAGCCTAGCCCCTTGTCTACCCAGCATGCTGCAGCTTTTTTGGTAGTGGTAGTTTTTAATGCAATCTGGATTGGCTTGTTCTAAGCCTGAATAGAGTGCTGTAGTTAGATCCCACCAGAATGGCTGTGCAAGGTTAGCCTGAAATATTACAGTTGAGCATTGGGCTCTGTGTTTTGACACTTTCCAGACCTACGTGTTTTGGTAAAAGTATTTTGTGCAGCGCCTTCTATGTCCAGAGCCATGGCATTGCCTAAGCACTTGCTCTGTCTGTTGAGTAACACCATATGGGTTGCACCACTGGGAGCTACCTTGCTATTTGCATCATTGAGTGCCTGTCAATTTTCCTCCTATTGCCAGTTTAACACTGAGGGAGTGCTGACATCATCCACTAAGTGAAGTGTTGTGTATGATCTTCCCTGCCATTCAGGCTAGAGGAAGCAGCATTCCACTGCGGTTGCACTGCCAAGCTCCACGCGCAACTCCGGTCTGTTCATACTGCCCACATACAGTTACCTAGTCACTTCTGTTCCTCTGACCCTCATCAGCACCAGCTTGCAGGGTTTGTGAGTACTACTATATGAGTGCTTTGGACCTAATTGCATCACCGCTATGTGGGCACTGCGCATAGACACGGGACAATCCACCCCCCAGGATTTAAGAACAGGCAATGCCAATTCTCAAGTCTAGTAACCCTAGTCTGTCAAACTCTGGGAGATTGGGTTAAATACCTCAAAAATGATATTGCCATTGCTGGGGTTGACCCCCTTCTTAACGGAGTGATTGGAACAGATGGCCGGAGGGTTTGTTACAGGTATTGCACCTCATGTCCTGAGTAGCATACCGATGTGTACCCTGCCCAGTTCAGCCCCATTCTCCTTTGTTATGGGTCTGGTTTCTAAGCAGTTCAACCCCATTCTCCTTTGTTATGGGTCTGGTTTCTAAGCAGTTCAACCCCATTCTCCTTTGTTATGGGTCTGGTTTCTAAGCAGTTCAACCCCATTCTCCTTTGTTATGGGTCTGGTTTCTAAGCAGTTCAACAAGTCTGACTTTATGGCCCAAGTTAGTCCTTGCTGTGATACTTGAGCCTCCTCAGACCCTG